GAATGTATTGAATATCTATTTTTTGTTTTGCAATAATTTAGATAAAATGCATAACCTATTTTTATTTTTTCTTTAGCGTTTAGTCATGTATTTAATACTCCCTTATTAGCCTACTTATTTTAGCATGACTTGGCACTCTTAGATTATGTTTATTTTTATTATGGCTTTTTAATTAGCAATATTTATATTACATAATTTTATTGTTGAATATTTTAGGATAATGCCATGATATATCTCATATTTTGTATTATTTTCTTGGAAAATACTTTATATAGTTGTATCTTACTAGGACTAAAGAAATATTTTGAGCATAATTTATATGTTTTGTTCTATGAAGATTTTACCGGAAAAAACCCCGAAAACTCGAGAAAACCCGAGAATGAAAAACCCGAGTTTTATTGGTTTGGTTTGGTCTTTAGATTTAATAATCCGATACAATTGGTTTGGTTTGGTAATTGTAAAATCCGAACCAACCCGGCCTATGTACCCCTAGTGAAAATCAAAGGGAATGATGACCTCATTTTGAACTATAGTGGCACAAGTTCATTTCTGGATCACTGCTGCCTAGTTATTTTCTAAGTTTGCCTGTTAACTGTGTTTAGAAAGAAAGAAAGAAAGAAAGCAAAGACTTGCAAATACATATAGTATTCAAATAGTTTTAAGCAAATTTATTACACCATGGCAAATACTAGCGATGGAGCACAGGTAGTCGATTATAGTTATCCTAAAGATGCATATTTGTGACACTAGGACATAGTAATGATGAAATAGTAATTTGAGATAACTATATTTTAGAGGGGTCCCTCTTGTATTGCAAGGAAACATTTCTTTTCAAGTCTACTTCAAGTTTTGAGCTTCTATTGGTCCACTTGCTCCATTAGAGTTTAGTCTTTAATTTGTCACAGGGACAAGCTATCAGTTTTGATGACTCAAAATTTTAGTTTCATTACTTTAAAGACTTTTGGATGGCTTAATTAAAGAGTCATTAAAGGAAACAAAAAAGAATTCATTAGCAAATTCACTGTTTTGTTGCTTATATTTCCCACATGTCAAACTTCAATGGTGCATATATTTCAGTTGGACTTAAAGTAATTTATCTATATATCTTCTATCGGTATAGAATAGGAAAGACAAAACTATTATATTATGCCAAGTGGCATAGCAATAATTCAACACGTGTCAAAATTTAGGATAAATCTCCAATATATTTGGAGTTTAAAATTAATTTAGTCTACAAGTCAAGGAAAAAAAACTTATCAAATTACTTATCGATAAAATTCGATAAATTCGATAAATTCCTTATATATAAAATTAAAAAAGGGGAAATTCTTTTATGGTAAAATATTTGTCATTTTAATTGTTTCTCGAGAAGAAAGAGGATTTGTTGAATTTCAAGTATTCAATTTCACCAATAAGGTACAAAGACTTACTTCACATTTAGAATTGCACAAAAAAGACTATTTATCTCAGAGAGGTTTGAAGAAAATTTTGAAAAAACGTCAACTACTGCTAGATTATTTGTCCGAAATCAAAAGAATGTAAACACCCTGTTATTTTATTTATTTAATACACTTGGAAATTACCCACAAAAAAAAAATTCCTAGAAAAGAACTGACTCCATACTCTTTTAGTTAAAAAGAAGACCTACGACCAAATAAGAACAATATGAGAAAAAAGAACTAACTCCACTAAAATTCCTCCTACTTTTTTTGTTGGCCGTTTTTTAATAAACTACATACTCAGATTTGAAAAAACTTTTAACCTGCTATTCAAAAGAAATGTATACGTTTACCCCAAAAAATATGAGTAACAATTAAAGATAATTTGTAGATTTAAAAATATGTGATATATTCTAATACTAGTGATTAAATAGGTAATATCGAGCTTAAGTAAGAAGGAATAATGAACCAAATCAATGTTGTCGAAATTGTAAGGGCCTCGAGCTTGTCTATCCAGGGACCTCGAGGTCAGCTAAGACCAACAAAGTATGAACAATAAAGTAAAGGCAACAAAGCAAAGGCAATAAA